CTCTCTCTCTCTCTCTCTCTCTCTCTCTCTCTGTCACATAGGGTGCTGCAATTGTTTGTTTTGTTGTATATGTGTACGGCGTCGTTTGGTGGAATGCAGAGGTACTACTGGTTACTAGTGTGGTGAAAGCTGAGAAAGAAGACAGAAATGGCGGGGAATGAGGGTGTGTATGAGTTTGCAAAGAACTTGGCTCACGAGCATGCGCAGGTGATACCAGTCTCGGTCTTTGTGGCGGTTCTCTGTCTTTGTTTCGTCGTCGGCCATTTGCTTGAAGAAAATCGATGGGTCAACGAATCCATTACTGCCATTTGCATCGTAATAATTACTAATTACTGAATTAATTAACCCCTTCAACAATTCCCATTTCTATGCTTTTTTTCTTTAATTTTGTTTCTTTTTTTATGTTTGTGGGTTTTTTTAGTACAAGCTATAATCTAAACTACAGGGGAGGAGATTTCTCTCACACAACAACTATGATGTTATGGGTTCGAACTTGAGACTTCTAGCCTACAAGCCAATACCCTTTTTCACTAGACTAGACCCGTTGGCTGTGGATTTTATATTTTTTTTTAGTGGTTATATCAAATGCTCTTAACCTCCATTTTTTTTAGTGGTTATTTCATTTGGCCAATAAATAACAGATTAATTAGTAGCCATTGATGTTCATTAAGTTTACACCACATGGTACATTGTGTGTGTGTGTGTATAATAAAGTGAGATAGCTCAAACACTTGGGAATTTAATTTGCGAAAAATGTGCGGTTCTATAATATTTGTCAAATTTGTGTACTAATTAACTATGAGCTCCATATGACACAAGTTTGTACCCTTTTCTTCACCTACTCTCCTAGAAGATTGAGTTTTTGTGTGGTTATTGTAAAACCTTAAGCATGTATATATGGTAACATGGTCAACTCTCTGCTTCACCCTCTGTCCCCAGAACCATATCGAAAATGAAAAATTATGTGAGCTTCTTTTTCTCCCTGTTTAATGCTGAGAATTATGTTGGGCACTGTTGAATTTGCAAACATTTGGGATGTTGCTATATATATATATATATTATATGTTCTGTGTCTGATCATTTCCCTTGTCTAAAGTTTTTTACTTTTTTTTTTTCTGAAACAGGGATGCATAGCTGGAACAATAATCTTGCTTGTGAGCAAGGGCAAAAGTTCCCACATTCTGAGATTTAATGAAGAGTTGTTCTTTATATATCTCCTGCCACCTATAATATTCAATGCTGGGTAATTTAGCTTCCTTATGGCTTATTACTGTACTAATTTTCTTGTCAGCTTCATATGTAGAAACTTTACAGACAATTCACTTGCTTTGTTTACTGACTATGTCAGATTTCAGGTCAAGAAGAAACAGTTTTTTCGGAACTTCTTAACCATCTTAATGTTTGGGGTGATTGGTGTTTTCATTTCAACCTCCATCATAGCAGTTGGTAACATTTAATCTGTTCAGTGCATATTTTATTGTAGTATATAGCCAATTCCTCAAAAGATTTCAAACTTTTAATTTTGCATTGTGCTATTATAGATTTATGTAGGATCTAAAATGATTCTGCGTGTAACTTTTTGGTTTAGGCTCCTGGTTGCTGTTTCCTAAGTTGGGCTTTGTTGGCCTGAATGCACGAGACTATCTCGGTGAGAACTGAGAATCTTATCGATGAAAGGATTAGCTATTTGTATCATATGAACTTCGATTTTTATGCTATAATATTATAATTTTGTTGATGACTTTCGGTTTACATCAGCCTTTTGTTTTGAAACAGCTGTAGGAACAATTTTTTCATCAACTGATACAGTGTGTACACTGCAGGTTTGTCATGTTATAGATGTTCTCTTTCATTTAATTTGGACCAGCCGCTCCCATATTTGGATGTGCTGTGACATTCTATCCAAATGTAGGTTCTTCATCAAGATGAAACTCCTTTACTATACAGCCTAGTCTTTGGGGAAGGAGTGGTGAATGATGCAACATCAGTTGTCCTGTTCAATGCAATTCAAAAGATTGATGTTACTAGGCTTAGTGGCGCAAATGGACTTCGTGTCGTTGGAGATTTTCTATACCTATTCTTCACAAGCACTGCCCTTGGAATTGCAGTAAGTTCTGTTAAACCCATAATGATGATCTAACATTGCTAAGCAGTATTCAGAATATTATGATCACTTAGCTGGTTTCAAAATTACAGCATTTGTGATAAAGTTTGTTTCTTGTTTTATTTTCAGTTTGGACTTTTGGCAGCATATGCCCTTAAAACCTTATGCTTTGGAAGGTTAGTAACCTATTCACGTATCCCTATGATAAAAGATATCTGTGAATCGTGATAGACATAGTAGGGAATCTCAGATCTTACTCTTAAGTCAAGTGCAACCTATACAAATCTTATTTTTATACTATTTTACAGGCATTCGAGCATCCGTGAGATTTCCTTAATGGTTCTACTGGCTTATCTGTCTTACATGGTGGCTGAGGTAACTAAGTGTACTTAAAATTAAGATTAAAAGTTTATTCAACTTATGTTTTATTTTTCAAAGCTGAATAATTCACCCGCACTTGAGTATAATCCCACAGATTCTTCTATTCACTGTTCTTGTAATTTGTGTTGAAATGAACTTGGAAGCTGGCTTGTTATTTCACCATATAGCTGAAAACCTCTCTAATTTTAATTGACATGCAGCTGTTAGACCTGAGTGGAATTCTCACCGTTTTCTTTTGCGGGATTCTCATGTCGCATTATGCATGGCATAATGTCAGTGAAAGTTCAAGAATCACAACCAGGCATGTATGGACAGATTAAGGTCCCCATAAAGTCCCAGCTATTTCATCTGACTGCTCTCACCTTCTCATTTTTAGGCATGTATTTGCAATGATGTCATTCATAGCAGAAACATTCATATTTCTTTATGTGGGAATGGATGCTCTTGACATTGAGAAGTGGAAGATAACTACATTAAGGTACTCTTCCTCCTGAAATTCTATACCGTTGTTTTCCATTTCCCTTGATCACCCAACTTGGGGTACTTTTGATTGTTTACTGGAGAATGTTTGCTGGTAGTTTGAAATTTTGGCTGCATACTTTGATGTGAAAAAATAAAGAGCGAAATCATTCGTACGGATATTATATATCTGAACTGAAACAGAACTAGCAGCTGGCTGGTTGATTCAAGCAAGTCACATTATTCTGTGTCTGACTAAAACTAGGAGTACCTTCTAGTATAAAGGTACATTATTCTGCACTAAAACTAGGAGTACCTTGTTGATTCACAATTGAAGAATACAGGGAAAAAAACACAGACTTTGATTGAATTGATGGTGCACTTAATAGGCTCTTTTCAAGAATACATGTATCAAGTGAAGCCAATTTATTGATTTTTCTTAAAACTTTTTACTCTTGCAGCCTTGGGGATTCACTGGGCATCTATAGTACAATACTCGTATTAATATTGCTCGGACGTGCTGCATTTGTATTCCCTCTCTCAGCAATCTCCAATTACTTGAATAGACGAGCTACGGGATCATCTTCACTTTCATTCAAACACCAGGTTAGTATAAGTAACCCCAATCTGATAATCTTTTTATGCATCCCCTTAGAGAAGAGCTTGAAATTGATATTTATGTAGGTAATCATATGGTGGGCTGGGCTAATCAGAGGAGCTGTCTCTATTGCTTTGGCTTTTAAACAGGTGTGTATACTCTTTTTTTATTACAAGTCGTTGATAGTTACTCTAATGAAAATAACCATACTGATTTTGTGATGGCTCGGAATGCTTTTGATGACTCGTGAAGTTTACATATTCTGGTGTCACATGGGATCCAGTCAATGCTACGATGATTACTAACACCATAATTGTTGTCCTATTCAGTACACTGGTATGTAAATCATGTTTCTTGTTGTCATTTCGTTTACGGTTTATATAGTAAAGAAAATTTGGAAATTATAACCATTATCGTTATTCTGTACACACTGGTTTCTTACCCCCTTATTGAGAATAATGTCAGCAAGCATTAATTCTGCACCTCAAAAAGTTTATAATGGGATCATTTTGATATTAGGTGTTTGGCTTTCTGACAAAGCCGCTTATAAATTATCTGCTTCCTCACGCTGCAACTAGCACCCTTAACCGTAAAGAGTCAAAGGACATATCAGAGGACATGAACCTGCCTTTGCTCTCCTTCGATGAATCTGCTGAGACCAATATCAGTCGTGCAAAGGATAATTTGTCCATGTTGATGGAGAGACCTGTATACACCATACATTCTTACTGGAGGAGGTTTGATGATGCCTACATGAGACCAATATTTGGAGGGCCACTTGCCAATCAGTCTGCTGCTTGAGTGAATGACTTCACAGCTTCAGTCCATCATAGCAATGCATCCAAAGCACCCTAACGAAACGCAAATCCCAGTGCTAGTCGAAGCAGGTAGATGAACGTTTTGTGCATGAAGATGCTTAATTTTCTAGGACACCGTAAGTGTTAACTTTTCCCTGTTCGACATTATCCAGCTGCTAGCGTTACTTTTGCCTATGGGGTACAATATGACTCATTGAGGCTGCAGATTAACTGCTTGGAAAAGTAAAATTGTGTGCATATTATGCTAAGAAATGTGATGCCAACTGCTTACTATCCCGATTAGTGGTTGAACCAAAACTAATCTGGGTTCGAATTCATTAGAAAGACCAACTAAATGCTACTTGCTACCAGATGGATGTTATTTATAGAAATTGCAGCTTCGACTGAAGCAGAACTAAAAGCAACTTCGAGTACAGAAAAAGTATTGGACTTGAACTGCAAAGCAAGCAGCAATGACCTTTTCGCATTGCCTAATATTATTGTTGGGGTTCCAACAAACAGAAAGTACTGGTACAAACAAATGCATTTAGCAATTACAGAGACGGATTTAACAACACAGGTAACAAATAGATGTTTTCAAAATATACATGGAAAACATTATAAATATTTCAAATCTAGGAAGCACTAGGAAATGGTAAAATCACTTGGTTGTTGAAACTGTTGCAGCCTCAAGTGCTTCAAACCACTGCAATGAACCAAAGAGAACAATGGTTAGAAACGCACCATACAATCAGAGAGGCATATTAGTAGTAACCATGCAAAGCTTTGGTATCTTACCATGGCATTCTCGTGGTGTGTTCATGCCACACTTCTTAGGCAACGCCATAGCTAGCGCAGGGTTGATCCCAAACGCAGGGAAGGCAGACTTGTAGTTGCAGAGGCAGGGCAAGTTGGCTTGGTGGACAACGTCACAGCATTTCTTGGTTGGTGGTTTTGGTGAGTTTCCGGTCACTGCCGGGCGACATTCATTCAGCTGGGCGGAGTCAATGTTACATATGGAGACTGCCCTGGCTCCACCCACAAGTGCTAACAAGAAAATCGCCATTACCCATTGCAAGGACCGCACTTCACAAGTACTTGCCATTTTGCTTCGGTTTTATTAACTGATCAAAGACGTTGATTTATAGGAAAGAAATGGGATTTGTTTATAATAATTTTCTGGCACAATTTGTCATGTGAAGGAAGGAACCAAGTCACGGGAATTGAAAGTCACGGGGTTCTCACCAATGAAATAAAAAGTCAGTCACGGGAATTTCTATACATTTTACACACGACAAAGAGAAATTCTTCTGCAGAGTATAATATTATTCTTTTCCCCAAAAAAACCAGTAAGCAATGATTAAAATTCAGGAACAAATTAAGATAACTTCTCAGAGAATACATTATTAATACATGGATTAAGAAAAGTACATTAGGATTGTCGTACCAAAACTAAGTTCTAGATCTCAATGACACCCTCATTTTCAGGCTCGCTGGTAAGTTGCATCCCAATGACTAAATAAATACATACATTCATAACTGAAAATAAGTTAGGATCTCCTTACATTTGCTTTTGTTTCCTACTGTCTGCTATTTTACAGGTGTTAGAAACTCCAAAAGCTCTCAGTCTACCCTAACAGCAAGGTCAGACAAACCATGGCGCAATTTGCAAAATAAGACCTGCCATGAACCCTTAGTACATTTTCATACTATTACTACTTACAAACATGAGCTAAAAACGTGCCATACAAGTTGTCAAAGTACAAGACATCAAGGTGCGTCAATTTCCCCCAACATTGGCGCACAAGTTATCACGCCATATATCTGCAACTGCAACCAATGACCAGCATTCTGTCAAATCTTGTGGACTAGTATCTAAAATAACTAAATAAAAGATAAATCCAAAGTACCTACAAACCTGTTATCATCTCCTGAATATGTGATGACGTTCCAAAATATCTGGTATTTCCAATGCACTGATGCTTTCACAACCAAAGATCTCTTGAAGCTTTGTATCACATTGTATAGCCATTGGATTTTGAGGATCCTAGATATGTATTTAAACAAGGAGAAAAAACATGGGTTAATATAGTCAATTGCCACTTCCAGTCCTTTCTCAGCTTCTCTGGTCTCAATAAATTACTGGAGGATAGACTGACAAATAAATTTCTTAATCAGACAGGACAAAATCAGATTCTTGCACAACGTTCATGCCATTAAGTGTAGGTGCGAATTGTTCTCTCTTTAAATGCTGAAACTAAGTTCAATAACATCTTAAATAATTTATAGATAGACTATTAAGTAAAACATTTGAGAAACCCAGCCATCATTTTGATTACCATCCACCATGCTTCACAACACAAACATAAAGCTTGCATAAGATAAACAAATTGAAACTACACGCACAACTGATCCTAAAAGAGACCAAAGTAAATTACTACTAAAGTAGTGCCAAACTAGGTTAAAGACGCTATACTACCAAAGCTTATTTACATATCCCTCGAGAAATAAAAAGTAAATACACAAAGACAAAGGCAATTGGAGTGAGAATAATGTAAAGTATACAGTTTAAAAACTCTACAAAACAGTTTTCAATTTGCTAGAAAAACTTCAAGTAATTTGAACAGCCACTGCACCAAATTCAAGCTCAATTATATTTATATACACCTCAAGCAAATAAAATAAGTAAATAGATAAGGACAAACCCAGCTGAAGCATAACCCATGTAAACTATAAAAATATAAAGACTCCATAAAAATATCCCGATTTCCATTTGTGTTAGAAAACTTCAAACAGCCACTGCATCCAAATTAATTTGTAACTTATGCACCAGTTACCTACCTCAGTGATTTTTAATTATTCATTTAGCTATTTATTTATTTTGAAAATGGGGAGTGTGGGTCGACTTACCTCCAGATGGTTCACCTTTATGTATTCCCAGATACGCATTAAAACCTCTGATTGGAGCATCTCCCTTACACCAACACCAAAAAAATTTGCAAGTGCTTCAGATATTATTAGAGAAGGACCCGGCTCAGTACTTTTCGTTCCAGACTCCACGGCAACCTTGGGCACCTTGGGCTTCTTGGGAACTGACTGTTCTGAGAGCACCAAAACATCAAATCCTTAGGAAAGTATCAAATTTTACACCCATATCACAAAACACACAGAAAAGTATGTGGTCCCCCACACACAGATAGGGGGAACTGTTACACCAAATACATACTTGATGGTTCAAGTGCAATAATATGTTTAGCAAGCAACTTGTTCATCTTAAACATGTCAGTACAGTCTGTCTCAAAAACCAGTCGGAGCTCCTCATTGCAAATAATTTTCCTCTTGTTACCAGGATCTTGGAGATTGTTTTTCCTTATGTAAGCCCACAGTTGCTTCACAATCTGAACTCAACAGTAAAAGAAAAAACAAAAACCTAAGTCCTTCACATACAATAAACTAACATTAACAAATAACATAAGTGGATGAGCAAACCTCAGTCCTTGGGAGAGTTGGGTGGCCAACAATGGCCTGAAGTTCAGGTGAAACACCACAAAGTTTGTTTAAACCCCCTGGGCCACCTTTTCTCTTAGCTTTAGGTTTAGCGCTGCAAAAGTACGATAAAATGCACAGAAACATTAGCCCAAGCATCAAACTACTACAATGCACCAAAGTACTACAACATCTGCATTGTGTAAGCATCTTTCCATGTTATTTGCTTGCAACCCAAGTCTTGACTGAATAAAACTTGATATATGACAGACCAAATATCCTCCGAAAACAGCATCTTTCCATGTTATTTGCTTGCAACCCAAGACTTGACTGAATAAAACTTGATATATGACAGACCAAATATCCTCCGAAAACAAATACACCTTACATACAACATATAAAAGACCAAATACGTAAAAATAAGAGACCAACAAATTGCTTACGCTAAAAAATCTACAGCCGTACCCCACCAAAATCAATGCAATTGAAAATGGCAATTTAAACTGAAACCTAGGGAATTTCTCACTCAAGCAGTGCTCCAACCCCTTAAGAGTGGTTAAAATTCTAAAAATCTAATATTAAAAACTGGCTTAAATATCTTTTTAACATATCCAAAATCTGGCCACGTTTCGAAATTTCCCTAAAACCTACCTACCAATGTTAATGGAGAGAGAAAGAGCAGTGGAATTTGGTTTCTCGACTTCCCATGCCCCGAAACATAAAGCTTTAGACTTCTACAACGGATAAAAATGAAATTATCGATTTTCTTTTTGTTGCTCAAATTTTCTCGAAACTCTACTAGATGGCAGGAAAATGAAGGAAATGAACTTAGGAGGACCTTTCTTAATACAACAAACCAAATGTGACTGGACAATTTTCCAATTTCCCTAAACCCTAATTGCCTCGAAAACATAAATTGGCAAGGCGAACACCAATTCCACGGTAAGCTGAAACTTTGCAAAAATAACCAAACACAAGACAACATGCAAAGCCTATCATATTATACCACTTTCCCTTCCCCACTTTTCTAGGCAACCAAACAGAAATTACCCAAAGAAGAACGGAAAAAAAATGGACCTGTCCTTGGGCGTGTTAGAGCCAGAAACCGATACAGGAGCGGCGGAGCCAGGTTCGGGCTTGAGAAGTGGAGGCGGGGGCTGGGACGAGAAGGTCTGGAAGGCGGAGGGAGTGGGGTGGTGGTAATTAGGGGCCTGGTTGAGGGCAAAATGGTCTTTTGGGTGCTGAGGCTGAGGTAGTTGGTGTTGATGTTGGTGTTGTTGTTGTTGTTGTTGTTGTTGGTGCTGGGGTTGGGATTGGGCCTGAGGAGTTGGTGGGTGGGATCGGAAGAAGTAGTGGATCTGGGCGCGAATGAAGTCGGTCTTGTGGGAGAGGTCAAGCCCTAGCCTGGACTCTAGCTGCTGGACGACGTCGTTTAGCGTGGTGAAGGTCGGGGTGGTGGTGTTCGGGTTGGAAGTGGTGTCGTGGATTAGGGCTTGTAAGGCTTGCGATATCTCTTGTTCTGTCACCATTCTGATTTCTTCTGCTCTCTCTCTCTCTCTCTCTCTCTCTCTGTCTGCTGAGTGCTGTTGAGAGAGCTTATCTCTTTCTCTCTCTTTGTTTTCGGATGTCAAATGACCGAACTGCCCTTGGAGAGTCAGCTGAGTCAGGTGGTAACCTGTTGGACATGTTCCTTTCTGCGTCCCACACTCCTATCACATTGCTCTTGGTTTTGTTTCAATATTTAAATAGCCACCACGTCAGTCTTTGCGACCCTAATGGGTCCCTAATGAATTGAGTATGAATGGAATTATTTTAATACATACTATAGGGACCCTATGTTTTATGAGATAGGCTATAGTGACAAGACCTGCCCCGAATTCTTCGGAATTCAGGACGAATCCTATCGTATTTACCGATATCAACCCGATGTCAGGCCCACATACTAAAGAATGAGACTTTCTACTGAAATTTCGACAGATTTTTTGCTGAAAATTGAACTTTTCCCAAAAAGTTCAACCTGTTAAAATCACAATTTATACACAACTAGCAGCACGCACAAGTTAACCATCAGGCAGTTTACAAACTAGGCCTCTGGCCTTTCAAAAATTTGAAGCAAAATCACTAGCAATGCCCTTATGTCACAAAATAAAATTAAACAATGCAATTAAATGAACTCCAACCAATTTATGCATGCCCACCGTAATTAACATAAAATAACTTCCCAAATTTCCATCATGCGATGTTTAACAATCAAACATAATCGCAAGTAGATTAAGGACTTGGTCCAAGACGTTCAACAATCCAAAACGGTTTCATATCTGTCTTGATCACAACCACATTTTAACAACACTCACTTAGTCGAAACCAAACTCATCTAAAAACCAAAGGAAGTGGGACTAACTCCAAACGACTAAGGTAAAGTTTCAGAAATAAACTTTAATTCGCGGCTGCACCTAGGTAAGACCCCAGGCTACCTACGTATCCTTTTGTGAGGGATCAAGCCACACGTGGTTCTAAAAACAAAAATCACGGTTCAATAACATACAATCATTTTCAACAATACTAATAAGTAAATTCTAGAATTATCCATTTTCCCTTTTATTTAAAATCACGTCGTATCCATCAACATCCTTTTTAAACCTTAATCTTTCCCCGACATATTATAATGATCCCTTTTTCCTATCCCCATTATTTTACTACGCGTCGGAAGGTCCAACACCACACGTAGTAAAGTAACAATAATCCAAGTGTACGGATCTTTTACCACACGCCGGATAATCCAATCTCACGTGTGGTAAAGTAACAATAACTCAATGAGCACACACGCCGGAACATCCAACGCCACGTGTGGCCTAACCAAACCAATTCATTTTCGACTTTAATCCTAAGTTCTCGAAGAAAAGACTCACAACGACATAAATAAGATTAACTTCAAATATTCCACTAATACCTTTATTCATATATATATATAAACTATTATAAACAGTTATGTAAATCCCAAAACTAGGAATATATATAAGGGTAAATGGTTGAAAACCCCCCTGGACTATTTGGCTTGTCGAAATGTCCACCCTGAAATTTTTTTTTCAGCCAATTTAGCCTTCGTATTAAATTTAATCGCCAATTTCACCCCCGCCGTTAGGTTTTCCCCAATTCCATCCAAATGCCCGTCAAAAAAACCACGTGAGAAGCACGTGAGAAGGTAATATCGTCCTTTCGCTGCTCAGTCCTCAACCCCTTTGACTGCTTCCTTCGTATGGTCAATTCCCAAAATCAGAGTTAGGGTTCGTTCACTTTTTCGAAAAAGGCTGAGTGAAAGAGAGAAAGTGACTGATTCGAAAAAGGGTGAGAAAGAAAGACAAAGTACGGCGACTGAGAGATTCGAATTGGGAGAAAGAGTACTAGTTCGACAAGGGTGATTTAGTAAACAAACACAATGAAAATAAGAGATGGTGGGGAAGCTCCGAAATACAGTAAGCAGCTTTTTATTTGTTTGATGCAATTGTTTGGGTTTTATTCTTGGTTGTTGTCGGATTTCATTGGTGGACTTCATGAAAAAGCATAAGAAAATTCGAAGAAAGTGGTCCCTATGGATGTTGTTTGTTGACTGACCTTAGGTTGGGTTGTGAATGTGGGCCCTATGCATGTTGTTTGTTTATTGTTTGTCGGGTTGTGTATGAGTTTTGTTTGAGTTTGTATTGTATGGTATTGTATATGGTAATTAGTAAACATATAGTGTACTGTATAGGGTAGATAGTAAATGTATATTGTACTGTATAGGGTGCATAGTAAATGAATGAGAAAATTAATTGTTTTGCAGCTAATCCTGACATGTTCACACTTGAAGTACACCACGGTGGGTATTTTGCTGATGGTTTATATATGGGAGGTATTGTACAATGGATTGATGGGCAAGATGCAGATGAAGTTTCAATGCTTGAGTTATTTGAAATGGTTAAACACCTTGGGTATGATGAGCAGAACATTCAATACTATTACAAGCACAGAACAAATGGTTGGGTAGAAATTAGGACAGATAAGGAATATTTTGGAGCATTGAAGTTGATGAAATCGAGGCAGCTGTTTGTGTTATACATAACTGAAAATCCAGCACCTATGCCTCTAAATGTTGAGTCCCCAGTATTCTCTGCAAATGTTGAACATCACGAAGACACTGCTCTTGGGTATGATGCTGATGAAGAAAATGTGCAATATGAGTTCGTGGATGTTGAGATAGAGGAAGAATTTGGTGAGGTAGAGGAAGTTGAGGTAGAAAGTGATGAACCTGAAGGTGGGGAGGATGATGAAGAAGATGGTGATTTTATAGACAGTGAGTTTGAGCAAAGTGATGAAGAGGACAACATGAATTTTCATAAGTATGTTGTAAGTGAAGAGCAAGATGATGGAAATCAAGAACCAGGTGAGGGTGACACTGATGGTTATAATACATCAGACTTAGAGAGTTTGCATGAAGATAATGAAGGTGAAGATGTCAAGAAAAAAGGTTTGAGGCAGCCAAAATTCAAACAGTATAATAAACATCGTGACCTTTTAGATCCAAAATTCCACTTGGATTTGGAGTTCCCAAATATGCAGGAATGTAGAGAGGCCATAAAGTACTATGCATGCAAGTGTGCTAGAAGAATAAGATATGTGAAGAATGAGCCTAATAGAGTGAGGCTGGTATGTGATGGTAATAATGAGGGTGAAAAGGCAAAGAGGCAGAGTCATAAGGGTGAAGAAGGTGAAGAGGGTGAAGAGGAATCTGCAGATAAACTTGAAGATTGTCCTTTGTTATTGTATGCTGCACATGTTGGGAAAGGACCCAATGTTAGAGTGAAGACATTCCATCCAATTCATACATGCGGCAAATTTCAAAGAACTAGGTTTGCCACTTCACATTGGTTGGCTAAAAGGTTTGATGAGGATCTGAGAACCAATCCTAACATGTCAGTTGCTGACTTCATGGCATTGGTGAGGAAACATTATAGTATAGATGTTACTAAGGACCAATGCTACAAGGCAAAGGGTTTAGCAAAGGAGAGGATTCAAGGAAGCATTGAAGAACAATATGCAAAGCTGGGGGATTATTGTGAGGAGCTTAAGAGGCAAAACCCAGGAAGCACAGTTTTAGTGAAGACATCATTGCGGGGAGATGGTCCAATATTTGAGAGGCTTTATATATATTTTGCTCAACTGAGGAAGGGGTTTGTTGAAGGATGTAGAACCATGGTTGGTTTTGATGGGGCTTTCATCAAAGGACAACATCCAGGACAACTTTTAAGTGCTGTTGGGATTGATGCCAATAATGGCATGTTCCCAATAGCTTTTGCTTTTGTGGAGATAGAAAACAGAGACACATGGACATGATTTTTAGATATATTCTTCAATGATGTTGGGGTCAGAGGCACTGGAAATGGGTGGGTTTTTATCACTGACAAACAAAAAGGATTGGGGCAGGTAATTGAGGCTTTAAAGCAGGATGCTGAACATAGGCATTGTGTAAGGCATTTGCATAATAATTTCAAAGTTGCTGGGCATGGTAGTTTGTCACTTAAACAAAGGCTATGGGCTGCTGCTAAAAGTACAACACTTCCTTGGTAGGAAGCTGAGATGGACAATATTATGGAAATATCTGCCCCAGCTCATGCATGGCTTCAGGTTAGGCCTGCAATTCATTGGAGCAGGTCTCATTTTACTACTGGGAGCAAGTGTGATATACTGCTGAACAATTTATGTGAATGCTTCAATTCAGCCATTTTGGAGGCAAGAGATAAACCAATAATCACGATGGTGGAAAGGATAAGAACCTATTTGATGTTGAGAGTTGCACGACAAAAGGAAGTGAAATGGCCTCAAAGAGTTGGGCCAAGGATCTTTCAGATTATTGAAATTTTTTTGAAAGAGAGTGGTTCATGCATTGCACAGAATGCAAGTGGAAACAAGTTTCAAGTCACCCATATGCTTGGTGGGCAATATGCAGTTGATCTAAATACTCACTCTTGCTCTTGTCGAAAATGGGATCTCTGTGGTATCCCATGTTGCCATGCCATGGCTGCAATATCAAGGCAACAGAGAAGCCCAATGAGTTATGTCAATGAGGTGTATAAGAGAGAAGCTTATGATAGGGCTTATAGCAATTACATTTCACCAATGCCAAGCCAAACCTTATGGAGGAAATCAGGTCATGCGCCAATCAAACCCCCACTGTATCACAAACAGAGTGGTAGGCCAAAGAAGGCAAGGACTAGACCCGTTGATGAGATCCCAAAGGGTGCAACCAAGCTTAGGAGATATGGAATTGTAATCCATTGCTCAGTCTGTGGAGGAGAGGGCCATAATGCTACTAATTGTGGAAGGGCAGATGGCAGAAGAGGCAGAGGGAGAGGAAGAGGGATAGGAAGAAGAAAATGTGTGGGAAGAGGAACTGGAGCCACTGCTACATTACAGGTAAAGGATGTCAAATTATGATTGAATGTTTTAATTGGACTCATTTGAGTTGTAATTGTGATTATTTTCATTTGTAGGAAATTAGAGGAGGGTTGACAAGGACCACAGCCACTGCAAGCCAAACAGCTCCAACCAATGTTGCTAGCCAAGCAAGTGGAACCAATCTTGCTTCACAACCAGGTCCAAGCTCACAACCAGTTCCAACCTCACAACCTGAGTCTGCTGTTACCACTCAAACTAGTTCAAGGCCAGCAAGGAAAAGGTTCAAATCCCGTGCAAAAAGGGC